CCCCCCCACACACACACACACCCCTCTGCTCTAGTGGATAAGACCGGCTTTACGGGTGTTTCCATGGCGACGTCAGTGTAAATAGTAACCAGTGTTGTAAGTCCTTGCTGTTATTATAGCTGAAGAGCACAGAGACTGAAATGAAAGCGAGAGAATAGAGAGAGGTGTGATGACATCGTTTATATTGAGATTTAAGAATGTTTTGGGTTTGATGCAATGATGAAATAAGAGGTTTATTTAAAAATGTAAATATCTTCTTTTTTTAGAATAACTGTTTATGGCCATTTATTTTTTTTTTTTTGGTAAAGCCCATCTCAACCCTGTTGTTCTGTTCTTTTGATGCAAGCCAGATGTTTTAAATGTAAACAGTTGTTGACTGCACAATGTTTGTTGACCTCTGAAATGGGCCGGATGTGTTTTGGAGATCCTCCAAGATCGTCTCRAACATGTTAGAGCCGCAAGTATCAATAGCTCTGATTGATTTCTCATTAGCACTGATCACCTACAATGTGTCTGATTGATTCGCTCTTACAAATTAGCGGCGCCATCGTGGGATAAATCTCACCTTGTCTCCGTGCGAAAAGAAAAGACGCACGTCGGAAGAAAACATGAATATTTACAGGTTAGATTTTTGACTGAATGTATAAACTCAAACTTCAATTCCACAACCTTTGCACACCACTGGATCCCTTTGTAGCTTTGTGGATTATAGCTGGAACTGCTTGTTTCTATAAGAGTTAAAAAAAAGAAAATACTGCCTATTGTGAATCATGTCTTCAGATGCTATGTATGCAGTTTATTTGTGAATCAAGTAAATAATGGTATTTGCTCCATGACTGACACCTTTTGCATGAGGACTCCAGTAGAGGACTTGGTCAAACTTTTTTTAAACTCATGTTTGACAAAGCTAATCCAAACACAAGAGCCACGATCAAAATGAGGAAGTTGGTCAAAGGACAATGTTTAATGTTTATCATTCATGAGGATTGGTCAGGTTAGCTGTGCAGCTTTGTGTGTGCCTACAGGAGGACAYACCAATGCTTGTACCCTGCATGATCAAAACGTCAAGCCTTTTCTGTAACAAGCTTGTGATGAAAAGTTGAAGGCCATCTAATGTGAAGAACTGTTTCAACCTCACTGTGAATCACTGTCCCCCATTGTGTCCCCTTTAACGCTGACCGTCCACCTTAAGTCGTTCATCGATTGTCAGACTTGCAAACATGGATGAATTAGAGTCTGTCAGAAGCAGAACTCAAACTTGGGGTCCTCTCCTCTGAGATCAATCTTCTGGTGCTATAGAGCCAGTGTCGAGTGGCCATTTTCTCATCATATCTAGTTTTATGGAGTGAACGTTTCTGCCCCCAGAGGTATCTCACTGCCTTTCATGATGTTATTTGTTTTCGTTTTTTTTATCGTAAGTTTTTTTTTCAAGAGATTACAATAAAATGCTTTTGTAATCATTTTTTTTGTACATGACATACATTGTATTTTAATTTGCRTATGTATTTGTTTGTGGGAAGAAAAGCAAATTGTGGTATTTCATAAAAAAYATGATTCCAATGTTTTATATTACTGTCCATGTACAGCAATAAAGCACAACTGTGTCAATATTTTCTTTATGTGAGAAAGACAAACTTCAGCACAGTTTTCTCATTTTAAAATGTACCCTCATAGGTAACACTTTCTTTTACRGTGCCCTTATTATCATGTAATTACAAGGTAACAAAAAATGGTAATGCATTGGTAATTACTACCTTATTGCATGTGATTACGTGGTAATTAGGGTACAATTTTGCTATGTAATTAATTGTCTGCAGTAATGTAGTACTTACCTGGTAATGAATTACAATTCACTATGTAACACCTAAATTAATAGGTAATTTAGACAGTTTTAAAGTTATATTTTATTGCAATTAACCACTAACCCCAAAATTTTGCTGCATTCTTTTGGTTATAAATAAAGTGTTGAGTTACTATTCCATTACAATGTTGAATAGTAGTTTGGTTGTTGTTACCCAATAAAGGTAGTTTTACTAACAGTAGGTTTTTTTTCTTTTGTACCCTAATTACCACGTAATTACATGATAATAAGGTAGTAATTACGTTTAATTACTTTTAAAATTTCCTTGTAATTGCATGGTAATAAGGGTACCGTAAAAGAAAGTGTTACCCACTCATGCACATCAAACTAAGGATTAAGTCAAATTTGGTCAAAATGACCTAAGCACCTTTTCAGATTCTGGACATTTTGAGCTACATTTTGATACCTCGATCACAAAATGCAGTTGTTGCAAACGTTTTAATCAATGCACTATAGTTGCCTATTTCACCACAAAACATTGTGTGACTTAATCAGTTCAATGTGATGGGTCACATATTAAAAATGATAGAATATTTCAAACATTTCCAGGCTTTTGCCAATACATGTTTTATTATTATTATTATTATTATTATTATTATTATTATTATTATTATTATTATTATTATTGTTTATTTTTGCTGCCTTGCATTTTCCAGTTTGGACTCTTTTTGGATGGTGTACGCTCCTGTGGGTTTCAAGCTGAACCAAGTGAGCTAGTTTAAACCAGTAGTTTCAGGGGATGGAGCATGAGCTTCAAACGAGAATGAAAGAAGTGCATTTTATAAACAAGCACTTGGATGTGTAACAGCATGATCACACAGGGCATTTAGGTCATATTCACATAGTTTGCTAGACTCGATTTGATCGGGGACAGAAATTGCAAGATTTGTTTACATTTTCAGTTGGTGCGGTTCACATTCACACCACACTTTGTCAAATAAAATAAAACCCTGTGAACAACCTGACCMCACAATCACACGTGGTGGTGCTGTGCCAAGAATCAGTGAAGGAATTGATACAAAAACCTCAGAAGAATTTTCTGTGTCTGTTATTTATCTAAATAGACCCAAAACAATTTCTAATAAAGTTTAAATGTACTGTTTATCAATTGGAGCATCATGGTGAAAGCCATAATGCTGCACATGTGAAAATAAAACTGTTGGACCTCATYTTGACACTTAGGTCGTATTCAGACCTGATAATTTGCTCTGCTTTAAATGAACCAGAGTTCGTTTCCAGCGTTGGTCCGGACCTTTTCTRCAGGTGTGAATACACTCATGCAAACTCTGGTGCGGATCAAACAACCGGACCGAGACCTGCTTTTTGAGGTGGTCTCGGTCCGCTTCCAAACGAACTCTGGTGTGGTTCGATTCAGTTCGCTTCTGGTGTGAATACAGACCGGACTCTAACCAAACCAACTGCATTAAACATGCACCTTTTTGGACTTCACAGGCCACTGTTGCTGAGCTAAATAAACTGAAATCATGCATGTTTCGTTGTCTCCTGTTAGCAGCTCTACTGCCGGCATGTTGTGGGTCAGAACACGCAGAGCACCTCTTCTCCTTTGGGTCGCGGGACACATTTACTGACGCCGCCCCAAACTTAGAATATCATCACGAAACCACCATTAAATTAGTTGCTTCTGACATTTTAAATGCTATTGCAGTTGTACTATCAGCAAAAATGTGCGCATCAGAACCGCAGCATGCAGGACTTCCTTGTTTTCTTCTGGATCTGTGGCTCAGTCCCGCCCCCATCCTTTTTTTGTCCAATGGGAGCAATGATCATCAGCCTGATGGCTTTGTTTACAAGTTATAGTTCATTTGCAAAAAAGCACAATGTGAATGCAAACCGCACCAAATGAAAAAAAAGTCCATTTTTGGTCCGGACCAAACAATTATACCAAAGGACTTACCTGGTCTGAATACACCCTTAGATGTTAAAAATGAGTTTCACACTGCCAGACAGGACACGGTAAAAAAAATAATAAATAAACAGAAAAAGACATGTGTGACATGTCCTTCTGACATGGAAGGCATCCTTCTTCACAAAATRTAAACAAACATGGAGTGACATCAGATTTTACTCAGAATGCCCTGCATTATATTCCACTTCCTGCTTTTGGAGCGGTCTCCAATCCGCTTAGCGTTCACAAGTCCAATCAAACCGCACCAGAGTTCTTTTTAGGTGGACCAGAGTTGACTTTTTTGGTATGCATCAGAGTTCGATTACGCATTCACACCTCCTTTGTCACTTTCTAGGCAAACAAACTAGAGTTTGATTAAAGCAGACTAAACAGGGCTGGTGTAAATACACCATGAGAAAAGGCAACAACCTGTCCTCAATGAAAGTATTGAAGAACCAAGACCTAAAACGTGGTGGAGGGTTTGTGTTGTGTATCCTGTCTGACCTGGAACTGCCTTCGGATCTTCACAGATGAACTGTGGTAGGGATGTCTATTCCTCCTGGGCCTGTTTTTTTTTTTTTTTTTTCAAATACAGTACTCTACATTTACCTATGTGTGTCCCAATCAAAAGTACGATAGCAGGCAGAGTAAGTCTAGATAAAATCTTAACTTAAAAGATTCTTTCTCACACAGCTGCGTTGTGTAGTTTTTATTTTTTGAAAGCCTTAGATCTGGAATCAAGTGTGAAAACACCTATTTGCCCCAGCAACACTTCCTAGGATGAAGGGCAGCACTTCCAGGCATAACCTGTGGTGGTTTCTGTGTAAAATCAGGTTATGACAAGCACATTTAATTACTTTAAACATAAATAATTTTCCACAGTATTTTTGGAATGTTTCCTCTAAGCGGTAGTCAGCTGGAGTYTTTGCTGTGGAGTGTGGAATCTTGTATTTGAAGTTTATGTCTCGGTGTGTGCCACTGTAAACATCTGCCGCAGAAAGGCTGCTGACTCATGCACTGCTGGGTGTGTACAGTATGTGCTGTAGAGTAAAAAATGGATGCAGCTGCGTTCTTAGTCATATTCCAGTGAATCCTGTTGGAACATTTCCTGTGTAAAATATGTTGAAGCAATCTCACAAACAAAAACAAGATTCCTCAGATTGCAGCTGAGGCAGAACGATCCTTTAGATTTTAGATGTCAGAATACATGTTATAACTGATTGAACACTTTCACAAAAACAGTTTGTTAAGGCCCTTTTACTTTTTCTTCCTGTAATCACCACAAAAAATTGTAACACACATAATCATTGTTTAAATCCTTATTGTTCAGCTGACTCCTTTTCAGAGAACTTCTGAAAAACAACACAGTATGTGTTTAAATCTGTGTGGTCTTTTTTAGATGACTGTACAGTAAGCTGAGATGAGTCATTATGATGCACCAAACACTGAACCATATGTTTGTCTTCTTTATTCATRAACAAATGTCAGCTTATTGATCTGCCTGCTGTCAAGAGTCTACAACAAATCTATATATCCACAATATGTAAGCTCCAGCATATTTGTTAGAAAAGTATTTATTGTGTAGTCTGTTGTTAACAGTTAGAAAAATTTGGTTTCGGTGGTTTCAGTTCAGTTTTCATGAAGTGGGGTTCAGCTGAAGGCCGTGAACCATCTCCACCTAAAAGTTTAGTCATATCTGGTTTAAGGGTGCTGCCGTGTTGCAGATTTGGAGTCAGAGTTTGAGCATTCATGAAGATTGATTATTACTGAAAGAATTAGGAACAATAAATAAACATTTTTTGAACATAAAAAAAGAAAAAAATTGTATAGGTCTTCTGGACGGGTTCTTCTCTAATGAAACGTTTCGTCTCTCCTCCAAGAGACTTCTTCAGTCTGAGAGTTTCAGGCAAAATCCAGGCTTTTAAGCCCTGCCTCCAGGTGACTGATACTCACATCACATGGCTATCGTTGACACCTAATTAACACCTATTGTTAACAGGGGTGGAGTGATACTGGCTATAGCCACACTGTAGGAGGGGGACAACTGAAAACGGAGGCCTCCACCTCTGTTTAATGATGGACGGTCTTTCTTCACAAAAATGGCTTCTTTTACTCCTCTCTCAAACCAACGTTCCTCTCTATCAAGAATGAGAACATCCTCATCTCTGAAAGAGTGACCGCTGGCCTGTAAATGAGTGAAAACGGCAGAGTTCTGGCCATTAGACGTAGCTCGTCTGTGTTGGGACATTCTTTTGAACAGTGGCTGCTTTGTTTCCCCGATGTATAACTGGTCGCAGTCCTCCTGGCACTTAACAGCATATACAACATTGCTCTGTTTGTGCCGGGGCACCGGATCTTTGGGGTGAACCAGCCTTTGCCGTAATGTGTTTTGGGGTTTGAAAGCCACTGGGACATCATGTTTAGAAAATAAACGTCTCAGTTTCTCCGAAGCACCCGCCCGTCCAGAAGACCTATACAATTTTTTTCTTTTTGATTTTTTACCTGGATTACTGAGATGCATCAGGACATTTTTTTGAACATATACCTCCAAGGTAAAAATTATGTAAATGAACAACAATCGTGTGCTAAATGAAATACCATACATAGGTTTATCTTGTATCTTAGATGTATTTTTATTTGTTATTTGTTTATAACATATAGGCATGTGTGTAGGCCTTTAGGCACAGTATCTTAGCTGTTTCAAGGACTGCACTCCTCTGGACTGAGGTGTCAGATGTTTCTCCAGGTATCTGTTGAAGCCTCTTCTCCAGCATGGGGGTCACTGCCCTGAGTGCGCCAATGTCCACAGGCACTACAGTGACCTTCACCTGCCAGGCTGGTTCCAGCTCTTGAAATTTCTCCAGTTTCTTGTGCTCCTTTTTTCCTGATGTTTCCATCATTGGGGTTGACCACATCAGTAACATTGACTCTCCTCTGCTGCTGATCAATGATCACAATGTCCGGTTGGTTGGCCATTATTATCTTGTCTGTTTGAAGCTGGAAGTCCCACAGGATCTTTGCTTGGTCATTCTCCACCACAGGTGATTCCCACTTTGACCTAGGGGTCTTCAGTTCGTACTCCGCTGGGGGACAACTTTACAATCCAGTCTGAAATGGATTATAAGACAACACGTGTTAGAAACTTTATACTGCGACTGCACAAACAAGCTGWAAGTTATTGTGTTGTGTACATGAATGTGTGCAAACAGTTTTTTTCTTCAAGGCTTATCTAATTCAACACAAAACATGTACAAATACATATAAATATTCATTTTGTGAGGATAATTACCACTATCTCTTTGAATATTTATTAGTTTTGTAAATTCTGTGAATATACTGTATGTACTGATGCATATAAGCTCAAAATAAATGCACATTTTTCATTTTTATTTCAAGWAAACAGTCTCTTTCAGATACTCTCATTTTTAAATGTATTAAAAATATGACAAAATGTATGATAAATCTGTATTTTATAGCAATAAGGTTTTGTACACATCTTTAGTGTTCCATCTTATTGCCGTCTGCATCATGTATAACCTCCTAACTATTCTAAATGTATAAGATACGTTCAAATTAAACCCTTTCTTCTGGGTACATAACTTGTTTGTCACTGAATGTACTCCTAAAAATCAGGTGTTGCATCTCTGTCAAATTAAAATGTATAAAAGGATGTATAGTATATATATTCACAAACTTRTTTTTCTTCTTTCACCAATGTTTTTGTTGGTAAATGTGGTTTTTCAATAGAACGCAATTTTTTTAACAAATCCTTCCTTTCATGGGTTGAAAATCACAAATAACATTTATTGTGATTTACTATTTATGTCTTCTATTTGAAATGTTCCTGAAAGCTTCCACTTCACACTGTTTTTGTATTATTTATTTTATTTCCTGTTCATCATCCTGCTCATGTCTGCATGGATGTAATGTAAAACTTCATCCATGAACACACAAGCACACCACACACAGTGGGGACAAATAAACTGTATTTTCCTTTGAATTTAAATGATTTTCCAGGAACGGAGGATGTTTTTTGTTTATGTTGCATTGCCCTGAACACAAAGTTCCTCCTCACTGTATTCTGGATGGCAGCCATGCAGACACAAATAAAGGCTGACTCCAATCAATATTTGCATAAAACATTTGCATCCTCTCAGTTCATAGGAAACCAGATTATGTTTCTTCCATGCAGGGAAGTGTTAAATGGTTGGTTAACAGAGGCGTAAAAGTGCCGAGGAGCAGGGAACAACCTGTCTGGGGTTTGCACAATGGGAAGGACAATGTATTGATCATGTGTGCCTGTTTTGTTTTCAGAACCCACCATTCATGGGGAAAATGACACACAGTTTGTGGACATGTCCATATTGTTGTGTTTGAAATGGTGAGAGAWGTAACTGAGGGGGATCATTTGAAAGCTGTGAGACCCTCAATCTGAGACATTTGAAAAGACCCCTTGTGCGATTCCCCCTCTTTTATTGATTAATTCAGCACAGGTTGGAGGGTCGGCTGGTTTATGTTGACTTGCAAACAGCTCAGGGACCGACTGGCTACAGAGTGATCGATGCTGTGAAGAAAAGGCACAATTTTTGAAGGGTTCCCTCAATCTGAAGGTTTTCAGCAGCTGGAAGCGTTCACTGGCTTTATGAGAGCCAAGAAATTTAATTATTATGTTATAGAGTTGCTTTCCTTTCAAGCTTTTAAAGGCCCCATTTTGCAGCCCACCCTCCCTCTTGGCCTTTTTTGTCCTCTTTGCTCTTCCTCCTCCCACACACCTTGTTTTAACTCTCCTGCTTTGACCCTGGTTGTTCCCAGCTCACCTCCTCACCCATTTCTCACAGTGGCACAGSCCTCCGTGCTCTCCTCCCTGCAAGTGTGAAAATCAATAACGTCTCAACACTGCTTCAATTTTCAATTAACGACTTTTAGGGCTGTCTCTCTAGACACATCCATCACTTCAGATCAGCCTTTGCAGCCATTGAAACAGGGAAAAACTTGAACAAGGTGACTCTTRCACTCTCTCAGCTCACACAGAGAGTAAGTCTAATACATAAATCACTATTAGAAAATTAAAATCTTACCTGAAATTAAAGTTGTGGTTAATTAAATTGTTGTTAACTCATGCTGTTCACTGCATTTGAAGACATATTGATAACAGAAATATTTGTCTGAATTGTGTAAATGTTATAATATCAAAATTCTTGATGCAAACACCAATAAATATGAAAAGATTGCACATATTTGATCTATGAAAATCATACCTTTGAAAGCAGTCTTTATTTGAGTTTTTATGGAATAATTCAAATAATCTGAAGTGTGGATTTGTGGAAAGATTATAACAAATTACCTGTAGCTGTTTAAAGATATGTTTGGAGAAATATTTTAATTTTGACTGGACTGTCTTTGACTGGTTAGACCGAATGTGGCCCAGGCAAAAGAGGATAGCTGCATTTTTAAACAAATTCAAATCCTCAACAGTTTATAGTATTTTACGTATTTTAGAAACCTTTACCGTGTCACTTTGCGTGGTCATTCTAATGGAAGTATAAAAATGCTCTTGTAGCCAGGGTGCAACAGAAGTGCTGAAGCTAGCTGCTACTGCCACTTTTTGTGTTATAATCAAAAAAAAAAAACTCATGTAAATAAATGTTCAGTGTGTAATTGACAGTGGCATAAAGGTTTAAAAACAGCCTTCGYGTGTGAATTTTTATTTGACTGGAGTTGTGTTTATTTCACTTTTAACACTTTGTTCTTCATTTATTGATAATTCAATAGTTAGGTTACAATGATTATTGCACAGATTATTGAATTATCAATCCAATCAAAATAAAACTGTTMTTTCTCAAAACTGAAATTGTTAAAAAATAATAATAGAAAAAAAAACTATCTACAACAGGTAAGATATTGATTGTCCATTGTTTTTCTGCTAAACCCTTTTTTGAGATACCTGGATTTAGTCTTTAAGCTGGTTTCTGTTGTGCTTTTAAGACCTGCATTYTTAGGAGATGTTCAGGAATTTGCATGCAGGACTGAAAATGTCTGCTGCAAGATTCTACAACGCAGTCGTGTGAATCAGTGGTAGATGTTTTCCTGGTAGTGCTCTTGTGTAACTTCTCAAAAACTGCTAAAAAAAACATAGGAGATAGTGTGTGTCTGTGTGTGTGGACCTGTTTTTTGTTACCTTGTCCTTTTGGTGGACCAAAGACCAGTCCTATTATGGTAAAATGGGTCAGGTTTAGGTCCAACATTTCAATTGAGATGGGTAGCTATGTACTGTAATGGCCAGGGTTAAGTTACAGAAATGACTGGAAGTCAATGCGTGGCCGTGATAAAGACAGAAATCCAAAATTGTGTGTCTGTTTGTCTTAAGACAGACAGCTTTAGAAAAAAAAAAACAATCTGCATGGGTTAAGACAACAGATCCAAAACCACTGGGACATGGCAGACATGCCCACACCAGTGTGTTCATACTGTCTTCGCTTGACTCAWGTAGTGTTTTACTCACTGCACTCTGATAAAGGCAGATAATTTGCTGAAAAGTAGTTTTCAGTGGTTTTCTCTATATTGTATGTGCCTCAAGCCAATCACACGCAGCTCCACCAAACAAGTATAGTTACTGATCTGCTTGTGATTATTTTCCTTGGATCACATTCTGCCTGAATAACAGCAATGTGACTCTTTGATATACTTTTTAAGCATCACTGGAAAGCTACGTATTGTGTCAATAGTTCAAATAACATCTGCACTCCTAACAAACTCAGATAATATTACTTCCATCATCTGTGCTTCATAAACATGCAGATAACTCTAATATGGACACAAAAATCCCATGCTCCAATGCTTTTAAAAAGATAAACAGGGTGATAAATCACCTACAGTAGATCAGWAACACAAAATGACTTGTATCAGCTCCACCCTCCCTGAATCCAGACTACAGCAGCTGAATCGTCTTCCTCTTTTTTTTTCCTTTCAGGCAGCAGTCAGCAGAGATGGTTTGATGTTGTCTATAAAGAAGCTAATTAACATTGCAATTAAAAAAACTCCAAAGTGCTGACAATGTTGGACTGAGAGACGCCTTCTTGCAACATATGGACATGAAGATGTGAACATTTGGAGCATATGTGAATACATTTTTGTTAAGGAGGAAAAACAGTCCATTAAAAGTTTAATGTAGCTACAAACAGGTTTGCAAACACATTAACCAAGAACCTGAAAACAATTATTTGTACTTTCTGTCGTGAGATGTTTAATTTATTGTTAATAGGAGCCGTCTGAAATATTGTCATTAACTTAAGTTTTGTTTCCACTAAAGTGATAATTAGGCTTTTTAAGGAGGCATCCTTTTAAAACAAATATGAACGATTAATGTCTTACCTGTCATTTACCTGTTATTTTTCTTCCACAAACCAACTGTATATGGTTATTTACAAACACAGCATCTGGCTGTATCACTTTGCAATGTATGGTTTTTCATAGATAAAGTATGTCTACAACAGGTAAGATAATGACATTTATAGCATCTCTACAAACAATGTTTTTAACCCAAAGTGCTTTTAATTCATTTAAAAAAATTCTCCATGGTGATTTATTTGACAATCAGAGATTTTTTTCTTATCAAAAACACAATCAAACAGAAATCTACATCATGGCCATGGATGTGTGAAGTGGTAACAAATGTCTGTCTTCTATTTTTGATCACTTTGCATAGAGGATGTTCGGGGAAAAGCCTGACCTTTTTAGAGAACATAGAACTGATTTTTTTCTGACTTTTCCCATGGAAAAAAAATGAATAAAATGTTTGAAATGACCAACAAAATGACTCTGAGAGCAAAGCAGCCTGGAGAGAGGGGAAAAGTGTCAGATGCTCCTCTGCTTTATCCCAGGGGTCTTCTCATTGTGTGGTGGCTAAGCTTTCTTCGCTCATTTATCTCTGCTGTCAGCAGTAAAGTGAAAGATTAGAGAAAATCCCTCCACTCCGCACATTTATACGCTTTGTGTCGGAGGGAGACACAATGAGAAATGTTGAGAGGGAAAACAACTCACAATTCTCCTTTTTGGTCCAACACATAAAGGTTTATTACAAAAAAAAAAAATATAGAAAATCTGAGCTC